GCGGGGCTCAGCGCGGCCCGGCCGTGCACTCCGCGGGGGGCTGCCCCGGAGGTGACTGCTTTGCAAGGTGGGGGAAGCGCAAACTCGGTCACTTGCCCCGATAGTCAGCCGCAAAACAGCAAGAGTAGCGACTCCGGGAAGATGCGCGGGGTGGGGGAACGATGCGCAGGGAGCAGCTGCGTTCAACAGCAGTACGTTATTTTGTTAAGTGTTAAAGATCCACAGAGCATCTACTGTCACCAGCAAATGTAGGTTTCTGCTGCATTTCTGCCGCAGCTATAATATAATTAGCTTTCAGGCTTCGAGCTGAATTTCAGTCTCCTGAATGTGGGCACCGGTATCTCTACAATTACTGTGAATGGAAGGAATCATGTAAATTTTTTTCATGTTTATGGATGTTTAAGTTGGCCTTGTACTATGTATCTAAGAGAAAAAGAAACCTTAATGGCAACAACTTTTTTTCCTCCTTCGATCTCTAAACAGGATTATTTTCAGGGGAATATGAAAAAGAATGTACCAATGAAATATTCAAAAAGTTTCTCTACGTTGTGCCAGATTTATAATATATATTTCTACTTGGTTATAGTCTGGCTTGCTACGGATGGTTGTGGAAAAGTGGTAAAGAAACTAAATATTTAAGTGAAAGCGTCTGAGGGCAATCTATGAAAAAGAAAAATAAAAACTATGATTGGTTAACCTTTATCTACACTTTGCCACAAGGACGTTCAAATAAGTTTTATCTAGAACAGCCCACAACTTCATGAAGATACTCTTGGCAGCAGGCATTAATTCCATTCATTTTTGTCAGCCTAGACAAACTGTAACTTGCCTACCTCTTAGTAACTGTTGTAGCCTAAAGCAACTTCTCCTTCTAAAAAGGCAGGCAAAAAAGTAGAACATAGACTAGGACTGGGAAGACTGCTCAGTACTTGGAAAGTCTAGACAACGTTTTTGTGCCGTCCAAATTCATGATCTGTAGCACAGCAATCAAGCACAAGCTTTCAAAAAAAAAAAAAAAGTGAGTTGTTTTGCAGGAACAGAATTTTCAAGGACTTTTCATACAGCATAGTAAGTATGATAAAGTTAACTAGAATCTGAGTGTTCAGTTATTACTCCACTTACTTGTTCGCTTGCAGACTTGTGCAGACTTCTTTTTCGATATCATCTTGCATGTTACCTTCTAACACTTTATGACAGAACAGTGGTCCATGAACTAAATACAAGCTGAATACCAGCGTTCTAAGAAATATGATCTGGAATGCTGCAGCCTCCATTAACCAAGTTATCTAAGAGTTTGCAGCATGTATGCTAAAGCTAGTGCTTTAAAGCACAGAGATACATTTTGCATGCATATCTATGACACTAATGTATTTTTCATGACCACCAATACTTGGGATACACTGCTCTTAAATCTAGAATTTCCCCCTTTATATAGAAATATATTTGAAAATTTAGTCTGACTGAATTATTGGAACAGGTTATGGAGAGGGATCCAGACTAATCAGAAATTCTTCATGTGAACTGAAAAGAAATATTTGTATCTTTAGAGAAAATGATTTATTATTGTCTTTTCTCACATGTATACATAGGTATTATGATCTACTTCTCTCTTCTAATTTTAAAATATACAGGAGCTTTATATAACTATGTTTTACAGACAGGTAGCATGTTGATTTATGACAAGCATATTAACATGAAATTGAAGCATATTATCATCTTTCTGCATCAAAGGCAGACAGCTAGTCAGGGAAAACAAGGAAAAGAACTATTTCCAGCAATAGCAATAAAATATTCCAGTTACGTTTCAGTTGAAGAATAAGAGGTTTTGGCACTAAGAGTTCTTTTTCTGTTTGTTTTTCCTGAAATAAACAAAAGGAAAAAAAGCCATGAATATACTATTGGTGGCATAGAAAATGGAACATTAGTCACAAGCTTTTATGAAAGGAAATCAAGCTCTATATATATTCTGTCTCAAGGGAGTGACATGGCTGGAGAGGCAGAAAAGAAAACATTCTTGGGTGAGTGAATTACCGTGATTGAGTGTAACTTGTTTCCAATGAAGACAACAGCAGTGAAAATTCTACTTTAGATGTCAATCTACTTGTATTTCATTTGAAAATAAAATGCTAGAATACTTCTGTTCTGGAGTGATGTTTGAAATATTAGTGGGGAAAAGTGACTTTCCTTGTTTCTAAGAGAGCTAAAACAGAGAGGGCCCCTTCTCTGATATTTCAATGTGGGGATTGGTTCTGAAAAATAAGAAATGCTCTTCCCCCCTTCTCCACTGCAACTCGAGAGACCAAAACTGAAATCCCAGAGGCCTCTTCTTTTAAGGCATGGGCTTTTCAAACTGTGCAGTCAGGAGCTTCAACAAATTAAGATCTGCTTCAGACCCGCTCAATACATTTTACTACCCCACAACATTAAATATGAATGAATAGAAGGTTGCTCTCTTGAATATACTAGATAAATGCATCTGAAGTTTTAAAAAACAAACAAATAACACTTTAATGTTTTAAAAATAGTTCTCAGGTTGTTTGTAGACTTGACACGGCTACTGCTGAAGTCCTACGCTTAACACGATTTCAAGATCTAACTTTCTATAGAAGTCAATAACTAACGCTATTTCTTTGAAAAAGTTTGGGCTGATAGAGGGGAAAAAATAATCCTTTATCACTTTCAAAAAAAATAAAAGGAAAAGAAAGAATGCTCTGAAAACAAACTCGCGATTCTCATCCTGTTTGCAAGCGACCCTTCTGTCGGGCAGTCTTACGTTACCTCTGTCTCTTTGAAGTGGATTTTTAATTAATGCAGTGCCATAAAGTGACTCGCTCCTCTTCCTCCTGAGAGAGGAAACTACAAAGAACAAGATAAAGCTGTTTTTCCAGTCCTGATTCTCCAGCTGCAGTTTTAAATGACAGAAAGACCCGCTCCTCCCACCTCTCGCCGGAGGCTCATTCAGATTCCGTACTGGGGCGTTCCTGGCTTCCCTTCCTCCATTATCGTGTTTTCTTCGGCATAAAACAGTGATGAAAGAAAACATCCTGTTTCACCTTAATTTGCCTCACAAAGGAGGACATTACTTGTCCGATACGGTGCAAAATATATTAAGAAATCTGTTCCGAAGAAACATAGCCGTCCTCGCTCCCTTCCAGGGGGGCGGACTCCCAGAGGCACCAATCAAGAAGAAGCCCCTCCCTATAAATATCAGCCCCTTCCTAACTTCTCTTTACTAATTTTTTCACCTCTTCCCCCCGTTCTGAAACGCGTTTGCGAACATGTCCGAGACCGCGCCCGCCGCTGAGGCGGAGCCCCCGGCCAAGGCCGCCGCCAAGAAGCCGAAGAAGGCGGCGGGCGGCTCCCAAGCCCGCAAGCCCTCGGGCCCCAG